TAACATAATGATAAACGGATCACCTATCACAAAACTCACAGAGGGAAAATTCTTAGGAATCCACCTTGATAATAGACTCAAATTTAAAACACATATACAACAAATTTCCAAAAAAAATTCCAAGAACGTAGGCATACTATCGAAGATACGGTACTATGCTCCACAGTCAGCCCTCCTGGCCCAATATCACTCACTTATTTACCCCTATCTCACCTATGGAATTTGTGCATGCGCTCAACAACAATAAACCATTTTCAGACCACTAATTACCAACAAAAGGCTGCAGTCAGAATGATAACAAATTTTCCCCCTACAGGCAGCACACTCCACCAATATTCAAAACTCAAACCTACTCACCATACAAACATCCTTACTTATTACTGCACCTACTACATACATAGAACACTTAACTCTGATATAAACATCCCCTCAAATGTCTCCTTACCAACCTAAACGAACACATGACCATAACACAAGGCACAGATCGCTCTTTGATGTTCCTCGTGTCCATCTACGCTATGCAAAAACTCAATGCACATAAAAGGCCCTAAAATCTGGAATTCATTACCTGTGAATATAAAAGAAACACTGTCTGTTTATATATTCAAGTCTCTTCTCAAAAATCACTTATCACCCACAACTAAAAAAATTTACTGAATAATTGTATCTCATAAATTGTTTCTCTTATTGTATCTCATAAATGTCTAACCCGTGACCAATCAAACTTTGTTATTTTTTAATTACATTTTCCTAACGAATACTCCATTCTACTGAATGCACAGCAACACAGTAATGACCCTATGACCTGTCTTTGTAATACTCTTTGTGCTAAATTGTTATCTGTTTACAATAATGTTTTTACCACTGAATATATCATTGCTTAGTTAATCTTAAGTTAATTTTAAGCCTGTCCATAATGCTCTGCATACAAGGGGCTTTTGGGATGTTGCACTTTAATAACTGTATTCCTTTGTACTTCTCTGTATCATGTTCAAATTAATAAATAAATAAAATGTATGAGATTTATTTGTACCAACACTCCTGTATGGGTGTGAAGCATGGGTGATGATGTTGCAATGAGAGAGGCTGGAGGCAGTGGAGATGTCATGTCTGAGGCATTGTGTGTTTGGAATATATGCAGAGAATTGTAGTTTGGAATTTAGGAGGGTGGGATTACAAAACTATTATCCAGTAGGGCCTGAGGAGGTTGTTGGGGGGTTCGGATTGTCAGAGAAGTGGACAAAACAAATGTCTTCGAGAGTATAAATCTGTTGAGAAGCAGGGTAGGTGGTTCGCCTAGGAAGGTGGAGGAGGGTAAGGGGTTTGTGTCGAAGGTCCTGTGACTTCCAGCAAGCATGCGGAGCGTATTTAGAGGAGTGAATAGAAAAAATGTTTTTAAATTGATGGTGTTGGATGTGAGCAAAGTAACTTTATAAGTGTTCAGGGAAACTGAAGTCAACTTGAGCGGGAATAGGAAGTACAGTGTCTGCACTCTGAAGGAGGGTGTTAAGTAGCAGTTCTATAACCGTAGTGTAAAAGCACCCCTCGGCAGAATGAGAATGATATGAAAAGTTTTTCTTTTCAGGCACCGCCTGAGGGAATCGCCAGTGTGTTAAAAAAAAAAAAAAAATATCTTCATATTCTTATGGATTTTTTACTCAAGGGGAAACTGGAAGAAAATTCTTCCTAAGGAATCATGTCAAGAAGTGACAAAATGAGCAAGGGTAGTAACCCTCCCCTCTCCCTATCATTAAATTACCAAATATAAAAGAAGAAAATTTTCATTTCTTCTATTCAAATGACTCCTTTAAAATAAAATTTTTCAAATGCAGATAACAGGTACATTGTGCTACTCTCTTACACTGAGTCACACTACACATGCATTAATACACACTCCTTCTGAGTTTTCATAATAGTTCACTTTTCTTACTTTCATTTTAAATGGAAGTGGATAAAAGAATCCTCCTCCATAAACCAAGTGTTTGCAAGGCAATTAAAATCCCAGGAAGAAGGGACTAGTAACCCTTTCTCCTTATAAATTACCAAATGTAAAGAAGAAGTGTTTCTCCTTTTTAAAGTCACCCTTCTCGGGGAGATTCCAGTGTGTTAAAAAAAATTATTCTATTATTTTCAGTAGATCCTTGTTTTTGGTACGGTTTATTGGCCGATCAATATTTAGGCCATGTTTTTGGCGGAAATTTCTCCTATTTTCGGCCATTTGCCTCATATATTGCCATATTAGATGCACACTCACCACCACCAGATACGAATCATAGCGAGTCAGTTCCCTTTTCTGTCAGTAAAAGCTCACCCTATATCCATCCAAACATTATTAATCATTATTTCGGTGTTTTTATTAATGACTGTGAACTATCACCATGGCTTCCAAGAAATTTTCCTTAGTAGACTCCTTTGTAAAGAAAGAGAAACGATGGTTTAGAAGAAGTATTAGAAAATATAAGAGTGCCTGGGTGCTGAAACTTGCCAGGAATGTATGGCAAAAAACTAATCAAAATACTCTATCCTGGCAAAGAAAGAACAAATCAAGGAAGCTGATGTGGCAAAAGGGGTAAACATGTTAACAAAAAAGAAATCACAAACAAATGAAGATGTGGAGAAGTTCTTGTTGTAGATCAGGGAAAAACAGTTAGTGGCAGATGGTGTTTCAGAGATGATCATTTGTGAAAAGGCATGCGGATCTCGTAAAGAAAGTGCCTGGTACCAGTGATGATGTTAGTGAATTTAAGGCCAACAGAGGCTGGTTTGAGAGATTTAAGAAGTGTAGTGGCATACACGATGTTGTAAGGCATGGTGAGGCTGCAAGTTAAAATGCAGCTGAAAAATTTGTGCAGGAATGCAAGGGGTAAGTAGAGACTGAGGAATTCCAACCCCAGCAAGTGTTCAATTGTGACGAAACAGGCCTCTCTTGGAAGAAAATGTCAAAGAGGACCTACATCATGGAGGAGGAAAAGGCACTGCCAGGACACAAGCCTATGAAAGAGAGGCTAACTCTCTTGTTCTGTGCTAACGTTAGTGGGGATTTCAAAGTGAAGCCTTAACTGGTGTATCACTCTAAAAATCCCAGTGTTTTCAAGAAAAACAATGTCATCAAGAGTAAATTGTGTGTGATGTGGAAAGCTAATCATAAGGCATGGGTCACGAGGCAACTTTTCATTGACTGAGTCCATGAAATGTTTGGCCCGAGTTTGAAAAAATACCTCTTGGAAAATAAATTGCCACTCAAGTGCCTCCTGGTAAAGGACAATGCTCCTGCTCATTATTATTATTATAATCAAGGGGGAGCACTAAACCCGTAGGATTATGTAGCACCTGTGGGGAGGATGTGGAAGGTATTCAGGCTTAATTCAGGGAACTGGAGCACAGATCCAATTCCCTAGATCAAGAGCCCCTCACCAGCATTGCTCCTGCTCATCCTCCAAACTTGGAAGACCAATTGTCTAGGGATTTCCGTTTTATAACAGAGACGTTCTTGCCTCCTAAGACCACTCCTCTCATCCAGCCCATGGACCAGCAGGTCATTTTTAACTTCAAAAACTCTACACAAAAGCAGTGTTTCAAAAGTGCTTTGAAGTGACCTTGGACACTGAACTGACCCTAAGAGAATTCTGGAGGAATCACTTCAATATCCTCCACTGAACAAGCCTTATAGGTAAGGCTTGGCAGAAAGTGACTTCCAGGACTTTGAACTCTTCTTGGAGACAACTGTGGCCAGACTGTGTCCTCAAGAAGGATTTTGAAGGGTTTGAGGCTGACACTGAGCCTGTCGACCCTCTGCCTGTTGTAGAATCTACTGTGGCACTAGGGAAGTCCATAGGGTTGGATGTGGAAAAGTTGGTGGAAGACTACAGGGAAGAGTTAACCACTGAAGAGCTGTACCACCTTCAACTGGAACAGCAACAGACCACAGCTGAGGAACTTGCTTCAGAGGAGGAGGAGGAAGTGAGAGGGAAGGATGTGCCTTCTTCAGTGATTAAGAACATTTGTGCAGTGGAATGAAGTGCAAACTTTTGTCGAGAAATATCACCCTGACCAACCTAAAACAAGCCATGTCTGCAACACGTTCAGTGATAAAACCTTGTCCCATTTTAGGGAAATCTTAAAGAGATGCCAGAAACAGAGCACTCTGGAGAGTTATTTTGTGCAACAGGGGTCCAGTGACAGTCAAGCTGGTCCTAGTGGCATTAAAAGATAAAGAAGGGAAGTAGCTCGAGAGAGGGATTTGATACCTAAAGTCCTCATGGAGAGGAATTCCCCTTCCAAACAATAATCCTCCCTCCCTTTCTCCCATAAGCCAACAAGAGTCTTCAATAAAGGTATGTAATAGTGATTTAAATGTTCTTAATTTATTTTATTTAGTTCTCATTGTTTTGTGTATGTAAAACTATAATTAATCTTTAAAAAATGTATTTTTTAGGAATATTTTTGGGTGCCTGGAAAGGATTAATTGTTTTTACATTAATTCTTACGGGAAATATTGCTTTGAATTTAGGCCGACCTTCTGGAACGGATTACGGCCGAAAAACGAGGTTCCACTGTACCCCTTAAGTTTGCCTGAAAAAGCATTGTATATCTATGGGTTTTTCTGTAGAAGAAAGCTTTGTAATACAGATGTAGCTTCTAAGAATTTTTTTTTTTTTTTTTTTTTCAACAAGTCGGTCATCTCCCACTATTATAATTATTATTAACATCAAGGAGTATGTAACAACACACACACAACAAATTCATCTTACTTCCTCCAAGGAAGGCTTCTTGATGCTGGTGAAGGCTCTTGATCCAGTGATCAAGAGCTTTCACCAACATTAAGGATCAAATTTGATTGCCTCCTATTCCCCAAGTGCCATATAGCATTTCCCCATGAAAAAAAATGAGATATAGCCTTCTAGTAGGCTTATCAATCCATTTATGATCTTACTTCACAATATCATTCTTGTGCATTTTACTTTTTAATAAAGTTCTAATATTATTCTTGTGCATCTTACTTTTTAATATAGTTCTTCCTAATGTCATTCTTATGCATCTTCTCATAGTTTTCCATTTTCTTCTCCATCTCCGGACGGTTGATGTCATTAGTGATGTTGTAAACTATTTCTTCTATCTCTTCCAGGTACTTGTTCCACTCTTCTACTGTGGGGAAGTCCTCTTCATTCATGTTATATATCTTAATGACCTGAAATGTTAATAAAGAAGCTACAGTTGCTTCTGGCCTCACTATTACGCTGTGGGGCCTCTGGTCTTACTACTGTATTAGGGGTCATGCTCTTGTAATGTGGCCACAACTATTTTAGTGTGGGAACAGCCATTTTAATGTGGGAACAACTATTTTAGTGTGGTCACAACTATTTTAACAAGATCCTAACTATGTAACAAAAAACTAAAGCTGGGTACTCCAGGAAAAATCACCCATTAATACTGAGAGTGTCCCTACAACTGTACATAAAATAATATGTTACGATTTGCAACTACAAAATACACTGAAGAGCAAAGATACCAAGCTGCTCTCTTAGCAAATTTATGAGTGCAAGCTAAACACTAGTAAACTGTACTAGCATCAACCTGCAGGTAACATGTACAAGCATGTAGCAACACTGCATGAAGAAGACCATCTTAATTGAATGTATTAAACACCCAGAGCTATTTACTGCACCCAGTGAAAATATTGGTATAGTGAATGAAAGAGAAGTTTCTCCGAAAGGCTTATAACATACAATAACTGGCTTTAACTACAAAAGAAAATTAAATATCACAAGACAGCCAACTTGAATTGATTTTAATTCCAAGATCTACCAGGATGTGATTTTTAAGCTCATCTTTCAAATACCTAAAACTCTCTGGAATGAGTTAGGTTTTATGGACTCCAAAACAGAGGCATCCAGCCAAACAGTCTGTTCTAGAGTTACATTTTCTTAAAGTTATATTTTTGTGACATTCCTGTCAAAACACAAAATGTAATACTTATGAGCTGCTAATAAACATCTCACTAATGTAGCACACTGATCTAGAAAACAAACATAATGTAACTGGAAGTGGGAATATGTTGCTGAATAAATTATACGAGTTGTGTGTCTCTATAACCTACATTTTGCCTTCTTTAATTATAGTACTGCTCCACACACATACCTTTCTGCGTATATCAATCTCTTTCTCTACTAATGGATCTTCAAATAACTGGACTCGAAATTTCGACCGTTTAAGTACCATATCACATTCAGGACACTGACCAGATTCTGCAATCAAGAAAATATTGATTAAAACCTCTCAGGCCTACATGTGTGTTTCTTTTTTTTTAGCACAATGGCTGTCTCCCACTGAGGCTAGGAGACCTGAAAAAGAAGAAACACTTTCACCATCGCTGTCTTGTCAGAGGCATGCAGATACTACAGTTCAGATGCCCCTGCAGACTGCAATATCCCCATCCCTCCTTCAGGGTATAGGCACTGTACTTCCCACTTCCAGAAGTCAAGTCCTGGAGATAATACCATAAGATAATACATGTAACTTATTCTTAACAAACATTTTGTAATTAAAATACTCCAATTAATACAGAATACAAAAACCTTAAAACTCATTAACAAAATATTACTAAAAAATAATTCAACCATACAAATGTGGCCATAATTTTACATGAAAAATATTTTAAGAATACCATTCTTCTAGAGTGTAATCACTACTACAGGGCCAACAAAAATTCTGCAGTAGATGGCTTATAATTATTTTAAACTGAAATAGGGAGCCTAAAGGAAGAAGAAAAAATACAGCGGTACATTGACTTACGAGTACCCCAACTTATGAGTTTTCTGAGTTATGAGCTGTCGCTCGGTCGATTTTTTGCTTTGAGTTGTGAGCCAAAATCCGAGTTACAAGTGAGCTTCAGATACTCTGTCACTAGTTGGCGCAGCAAACACCACAGCATCTGCCCAGCATCCCAGTGTTTTGTGCTTTTTGTGCAGTTATTTTGCCAAATTTCTTTTTTTCTAACCATGGGTCCTAAGAAATTAAGTGCAAAGGACAGTGCTGAGAAGAGGAGGAGGAGGATGGATGTCCATTGAATTAAAGCATGAAATCATGGAAAAACATGAGAAAATCACTTTTGTTTCAGTGTTCTCCTTATGAAACTAGTGATCTAGTGCAGTTAGCCTCACAAACACACAGTTTTCTCTTATAATAAGACCTCAAAGGGCAAGAATGAGAAGATATGGTAAGAGCGATAATTATTTTAACCTTGGTAGTGGCTGCCACCATTAGTCACATAATGACATACGTATTTTATTCATTCTAGAGTACATGTATATATCATGTTCCTATGTTATTTATATTGTTTATTATGTCATAGTAGATCAATTGTGATAGATAAATAAGCCAGAGAGTTGATATTACCGTTATACTGAAGTATTTTCTCCTGCCTCCTGAGAGCCAGGAATCCACTGGAATGGATTAATGGCATTTCAATTACATAATTTCAATGAGGAAAATTGATTTGATATAAGAGCAAATTGAGTTACGAGCTCGGTCACAGGACAAATTAAACTTGTAAGTCAAGGTACCACTGTACTATCAAAATCCCACTACAAATGCTTACATTGTACTGACTTATATATTTTTTTTTTTGGTGTAAATTCGTCACTGACCTTTTCTCCACTCACAGACAACACTGTTAACAGTCATGACTTCACCAGAACCTGATTATCTCATTACCTTTTCCCCTTACCGATTCTCTGGCTTTCTTTCCCTTTCTCTCTCCCATCACTTTTTCCCTTGACCTGTTTCTGTTTCTCTCTCCCATCAACTTTCACGACTCCTGCACTCACTCTTCCCTTCCCTGCAGGGTCATCACCATGTTCCATTCTCATTCTATTTTCTTTACCTTTACCTAACTGCATTTGTATTTTTTTCCCTTGCTTGCTTACAATTAAATGTACCAGTGATTAAGCAAAAAATATAGAATAAATAAGAAGCCTGTAAAGACTGTGTAAAAAAAAAAAATACTGCACAATACAGAAAAATACCCCAAAAAAACAGAAATTATAATAGACCAAAATCAGTTCTTACCTTTTATAAAGTACATCTGAACACATGAATCACACAGTGGGTGGCCACATACATTGACCATTAATTTCATCTGTGGATTACGATATTTTGTGCATCTGCACGATGGACACTGGATTTCGTACGATGCATCATAATAGTCCCCCATCTTGTTTCCTAAAAAATAATATCAATACATGTATAAATTTATTCAATTCCTCCTTGAAAATTTAATTTCAAAAGGAAAGGAACATCCTGGAATGTTGGAGTTTTGGGTATGACCAAATAACCTTATTTCTCAAGAAGATACATTAGTGTTATAATAGTATGTAAACAGTATATATCTTACTAGGTAAAGCCCCTAGTTAAACATAGCATTTTTTGGCAGTCTAAAGTTAGGACTAATATTACCAGTATGCCTACAACTTTATCAATTTGTCTCAGTTTACAGTATAATATATACATCCAAAAAATAAAGTGATAAATATTAAATGAAGTTCAAGAGTTGAGTTAATCATTGAAATTTAAGTGAAATTTCTACCTGAGAATATTAATAGTAACACAGAAGCATCAAGATAATAAATGATCTAACAAATACAGACTGAAGCAGTATGTACTGCAGGTGAATTTCTAAGAATGCAGAGGTATACTCTAAATGCTGAGAAACATCTAACCCAGCTTGATCTGACTTAATCTAGCTACTATCTGAACAGCATACATGTATTTAATTTTGCATCTCTTATGTTATGAGTGGTTGTGAGTAGGGCCTGAACAAAATGGGCAGTAGACTACTGCAGTGCTCCACTATTCTTATAAAAAACATAAGAATGGCAGAACACTGTACGTATTAGTTATATTGACTAATACTAAGCAGATGCAGCTCACACCCATTCATGGACCTGCCAATTTATTTTTAGTAAAAGCTACTCAAAATTTTCTCTTTAATGATACCAACAAACACTTTCCTGTAGCTTTTCTAAGGTGAATCTATTGCTGCAAGTCCAGTCTTGGTTAGATATTTTCAGTGCATTATATATATCCCTTATGTTTATTCCTGTTTTCCATCTGTACACCTCAATCATCTCTTCCTTAAATCTATGCTTTTCCAGAGCGAAAATTCAGAGGAAAGATTCTCATATGGGGATCATTCTTTGCTGCATGTGTTTCAGTGTATTCATGTCTATTCTGTAATACAGAGATGAGAACTGAGCAGCATAATCTAAATGAGGCCTTACCAAGGGTACATAAAGTTGATGTATAACCTGAGGATTCCTATTATTTATACTTCTTGATGTGAAGTCAATAAAGTAAATGCTTATACACTGATATCTTGGTTTTAGATTACTGCTAACTAAAAAAAAAATGTTTTTCAAATACTGATTGAATGAGATCTACATTATTTAGTTTATTATAAGTCCCATGGTTATTTTCTGTTTTGTTTTTGCATGATTAATCCTTACACTTGTCTACATTAAACTGCATCTGCCACTCTCCAATCCAGATCATCCTGTAACACTCTACGCTCCTCAACAGAATTTATTTCATGACCTACTTCAACATCATCAGCAAACTTGTTTAAGTTGCTATTTATTCCCCCATCTATGTCATTTATGTAGACTGTGAACAACACGGGGCCCAATACTGACTCCAGTGGAACACCACTCATAACAAGTCTCCACTTAAATAATAATAATAATAATTCTCCATGGGGAAGTGGACCAGAATTCTTCCTCTGTAAGTCATAAGTGTCGTAAGAGGTAACTAACATGCCAAGAGCAAGGGGCTAGTAACCCCTTCTTCTGTATACATTCCTAAATTTAAGAGAAGAAACTTTAGTTTTTCCTTTTGAGCCACCCTGCCTCAGTGGGATACAGCCAGTTTGTTGAGCTAATAATAATAATAATAATAATAATAATACAGGTCTCCCTCAATATTCACTGTAATAATACAGCCTCTCCTTACTTAGCAATGTACTCACTTACCAATGCTTCGGACTAATGACGGGCTCTTTGACCAGTATGCATACCTAAATAATGTATATTAGAGCTGATTTCCTCTATTCTGTTCATTACAATACACAGTACACAGCTGTATAAACATTTAAAAATACGCATATGTACCAGAAATGTTATAAATGGTGCAAAGGCGACATTAAAACAATATCAAAGATATTGACACAAATTCACTACCATTATAGTATGCTCCTCACTTAGTGACAATTCATTTACCGACATGGTCTTAGGAATGGAACCCCGTCGTTAAGTGAGGAGAGGCTGTAATAATAATAATAATATAATAATAATTTATTTCAGCATGATACAATGTTTGTACAAAGATGGGTGACATTCAGTTGTGCATGCAAATTTTCAACTGTCTACTGGTCAACCATGCCTCGATCCAAGAGATAATTTTCCCTCCTAATTCATATGCCACCACTTTCTTCAGCAGTTACCTGTGGAAAACTCTATCAAAAGCCTTACTGAAGTACCTATACACAATATCACATTCAATATTATTATCCACCACCTCAAAAATCTTTGGAAAAAAGTGAGTAAATTTTAAAGGCAAGAATGTTCCTTTGAAAAAACTATGCCAATGATCAATTTATATCTTTGAAGGTGGCTTAGAATTCCCTCTGTATTACTGATTCCATAAGTTTACCCACTGGAAATAAGTCACTGACTTTTTTTGGGTTATCCTTGGTAATTTACACTAATGTATGAAAACTGTACTTATGTGTACCTGTTCCTCAATAAATTAAAATTGAAGCTAAGTATCTATCTCCCATTTTCTAAATAGATAGTGTGTGCCATTTTCCACTTATCTGGCAAGATGACCACTTATAGTGATCTATTGAAGACCTTAACTTACATTCCTCCTGACCTATATAATTACCGATTTCCACAATCTTCCTGTGTAAAAACAGAGAGGAAATAAGCATCACAAATTGTATTAGTTAGAAATAATAAATCATACTTTTGTAACCGTACCATTTGTTCATTTTCTTTCTTACTGTACATATAATTGTAGTTAACTGTATAAGAAATCAAGTACATTATTTGTACCGCATAAAGAAATGAAAGTAAGTTTATTCAGGCACAGGTACACATAAATAGTTACATAAATTATCATACATAGTAATATATGTGTAAATTACCCACCAAATAACCTAAAATTTTAAAGTGTGACTTATTTCCATTGGATTATCACTGACAATAAGCTAGTAAGAAATTTAGGCACAGGTAAACATAAATACAATTACATAAATTATCATACATAGTAACACATATGTAAATTACCTAGAATAACCCCCAAAAAAGTCAGTGATTTATTTCCATTGAGCCTAAGCTGACCTAAGACAGTTTTACATAGGCCTATCTTTTCCCCTAATCATATCCCTATATACCTAAAAGAAACCTTTTTTGAAATCAAGAGCTTCTCACCAGCATCAAGAAACCTCCCTTCACAGAATTACAATAAAAACAAAATAAGAACCACGAGTCGAAGTTGCTTCTGGAAAATCGACGTGAACAAAATCACACCCACAATTCCCCCTAAACTAAAATATTTAAGGTAATAATTACCCAGTTGGGTAGATATGCTAAACAGAGACATGTACTAACCGTAAACAGATAAAAAAAATGTTAATATGACATGAAAACAGACAGAAATGAGGCGAGGAAGGAGGTGCAGCCGCAAGACTTGTTTTGGTTTGGCTGGACCAGGGACTACCAGCCTAATAATATTTTGACCGGGTAAGTAAGTAAGTAAGTTTATTCAGGTATACAGCTCATCTAAAAATATAATTTTACTCCATTTATTCATTTATCTGTCACCTATCCCTTATGATCGAGTGCCCATCGCAGCCGTGTTTTCTTCACAACAGCAGTTAATCTCTTCTTTACTGGCTGGTAGTTCTGGCAGCTTCAAGGAAACTTTGTCGAGCAGTTGAAGAATCATCATTTACGCAAACTGAAGCCAAATCTTTCTGTAGATCTTTACTGATTTTCTTGGGATCCTTCACAATATTTACGATAACCATATCACCGTCTTGCGTTTTCTTCCACATCTTCATCACAAGAGGAGGCGGGGCCAGGAGCTGAGTCTCGACCCCTGCAACCACAATTAGGTGAATCAGGCGAGTACAAGAGACAAGAGAGAGAGAGAGGGGTTGGTAGATTGCATTGTCTTGGGCTGTAAGAAGGCGTTTGACACAGTTTAGCACAAGAGATTTGTGCAAAAGCTGGAGAACCAAGCAGGGATAACAGAGAAGGCACTACAATGGATCAGGGAGTACCTGTCAGGAAGACAACAGCGAGTCATGATACGTGGTGAGGTGTCAGAGTGGGCGCCTGTAACGAGCGGGGTGCCACAGGGATCAGTCCTAGGACTGGTGCTGTTTCTGGTATATGTTTACCTGGAGTTTACCTGGAGAGAGTTTCGAGGGTCGACGCCCCCGCGGCCCGGTCTGTGACCAGGCCTCCTGGTGGATCAGCCCCTGATCAACCAGGCTGTTGCTGCTGGCTGCACGCAAACCAACGTACGAGCCACAGCCCGGCTGATCAGGAACTGTCTTTAGGTACTTGTCCAGTGCCAGCTTGAAGACTGACAGGGGTCTGTTGGTAATCCCCCTTATGTGTGCTGGGAGGCAGTTGAACAGTCTCGGCCCCTGACACTTATTGTATGGTCTCTTTACGTGCTAGTGACACCCCTGCTTTTCATTGGGGGGGGTGCATCGTCTGCCAAGTCTTTTGCTTTCGTAGTGAGTGATTTTTCGTGTGCAAGTTCGGTACAGTCCCTCTAGGATTTTCCAGGTGTATATAATCATGTATCTCTCCCGCCTGCGTTCCAGGGAATACAGGTTTAGAAACCTCAAGCGCTCCCAGTAATTGAGGTGTTTTATCTCCGTATATGCGCGCCGTGAAAGTTCTCTGTACATTTTCTAGGTCGGCAATTTCACCTGCCTTGAAAGGTGCTGTTAGAGTGCAGCAATATTCCAGCCTGATAGAACAAGTGACCTGAAGAGTGTCATCATGGGCTTGGCCTCCCTAGTTTTGAAGGTTCTCATTATCCATCCTGTCATTTTTCTAGCAGATGCATTGATACAATGTTATGGTCCTTGAAGGTGAGATCCTCCGACATAATCACTCCCAGGTCTTTGACGTGGTGTTTCGCTCTATTTTGTGGCCAGAATTTGTTTTGTACTCTGATGAAGATTTAATTTCCTCATGTTTACCATATCTGAGTAATTGAAATTTCTCATCGTTGAACTTCATATTGTTTTCCGCAGCCCACTGAAAGATTTGGTTGATGTCCGCCTGGAGCCTTGCAGTGTCTGCAATGGAAGACACTGTCATGCAGATTCGGGTGTCCATCTGCAAAGGAAGACACGGTGCTGTGGCTGACATCCTTGTCTATGTCGGATATGAGGATGAGGAACAAGATGGGAGCTAGTACTGTGCCTTGTGGAACAGAGCTTTTCACCGTAGCTGCCTCGGACTTTACTCTGTTGACGACTACTCTTTGTGTTCTGTTAGTGAGGAAATTATAGATCCATCGACCGACTTTTCCTGTTATTCCTTTAGCACGCATTTTGTGCGCTATTACGCCATGGTCACACTTGTCGAAGGCTTTTGCAAAATCTGTATATATTACATCTGCATTCTTTTTGTCTTCTAGTGCATTTAGGACCTTGTCGTAGTGATCCAATAGTTGAGACAGACAGGAGCGACCTGTTTCTAAACCCATGTTGCCCTGGGTTGTGTAACTGATGGGTTTTCTAGATGGGTGGTGATCTTGCTTCTTAGGACCCTTTCAAAGATTTTTATGATATGGGATGTTAGTGCTATTGGTCTGTAGTTCTTTGCTGTTGCTTTACTGCCCCCTTGTGAGTGGGGCTATGTCTGTTGTTTTTAGTAACTGAGGGACGACCCCCGTGTCCATGCTCCCTCTCCATAGGATGGAAAAGGCTCGTGATAGGGGCTTCTTGCAGTTCTTGATGAACACAGAGTTCCACGAGTCTGGCCCTGGGGCAGAGTGCCTGGGCATGTCATTTATCGCCTGTTCGAAGTCATTTGGCGTCAGGATAACATCGGATAGGCTTGTGTTAATCAAATTTTGTGGCTCTCTCATAAAAAATTCATTTTGATCTTCGACTCTCAGTCTGGTTAGCGGCTTGCTAAAAACTGAGTCATATTGGGACTTGAGTAGCTCACTCATTTCCTTGCTGTCATCTGTGTAGGACCCATCTTGTTTAAGTAGGGGCCCAATACTGGACGTTGTTCTCGATTTTGATTTGGCATAGGAGAAGAAATACTTTGGGTTTCTTTCGATTTCATTTATGGCTTTTAGTTCTTCCCGCGATTCCTGACTCCTAAAGGATTCTTTTAGCTTAAGTTCGATGCTTGCTATTTCTCTGACCAGTGTCTCCCTACGCATTTCAGATATATTGACCTCTTTTAGCCGTCTGTTATTCTTTTCCGTCGCCTGTAAAGGGAGCGCCTGTCTCTTTCTGTTTTACATCTACTCCTCCTTTTTCTTAGAGGAATAAGCCTTGTGCATACATCGAGTGCCACCGAGTTAATCTGTTCTAGGCATAAGTTGGGGTCTGTGTTGCTTAGTATATCTTCCCAGCTTATATCGGTTAGGACTTGGTTTACTTGGTCCCACTTTATGTTTTTGTTATTGAAGTTGAATTTGGTGAATGCTCCCTCGTGACTAAACTCATTATGTCGGTCTGGGGCTCCGCGCATACATGACTGAACCTCAATTATGTTGTGATCTGAGTATATTGTTTTTTGATATGGTGATATTTCTTATCAGATCATCATTGTTAGTGAAGATGAGGTCTAGTGTATTTCTCCAGTCTAGTAGGCTCTATTATTTGCTGGTTTAAATTGAATTTTGTGCAGAGATTTAAAAGCCGCGGGAGTTGAGTTTTCATCAGAGCTGCCTCCGGTGTTTTTTACTGCAAAAAAAAAATTATTTGCTTATTCCTCCTTTTAGGTGCCTTAAGTTGAAATCCCCCAGGAGCAAATTTGGGTGCAGGAGCGGGAAGGGTTTTCCCCAGACAGGGGTAAATTTTTTAAAGCTGTTCCGGGAAATTTGCTGGGATTTGCTCCGGGGCTTGTAGACTTACAATGCTGGTTTTGGTTCTCGACCTTTACTGCTAAAACTTCCACTACATTTTTTTGGGGCATTTACAGTTCTGTGCAAACAATGACTCGAAATGTAAGCCAAACCCCCCCCCCTTTTCCCCTGTTCCTCTGTCAAATCTGTATGGTTGAAACCGGGATCCATATTTCGTTGCCCTTTTATGGGGTCTCAGTGAAAGCCGCGAACATTGCCTTTCCCCTTGCAAGCGCCACGGGATGAAAGGATTTTGTTTTTTGTTGGGGCTTTAGCCCCTTTTTTGCAAAAAAGAATGTTTCGGACGGGTGTATTGTTGGATGGGGGGATTTTTTTTCCGGCATTATATCTGTATCTGTTGGTTTGGAGGGGAGGCCTCGCTGTGGTTCACTCCAGGAATGACTGGTTTTGGGTGTAAAAAAAATTTCTCCATTTCCTCAGTTTTTTTTTCTTCCTGGCACTAAAAAACCTCTCCCTCTTGAGTGGCTGTGCTACCCGGTTTCCCGGGCCGGATGTTTTTATTTTTTTTGTCCCCTTTAGATGGTAGCCTGGAAATTTTAATTTATAGCACAGTCTTTCCTGTACTGAAGGGGTAACAGTTCGGGGTAAAAAGCTTACAGGAAGGGAGTTTGCATTTTCCTTTTGTCATATGGCATGCATTTCCAGGGGTCATAGTTGCATCCCTCGTTTTTCCAGATTTCCCCATGCCAAAATACCGAGTGCATAATGTGAACAGGCGGGTTTCCGTTTCCCTTTGGGTTTCCGTGACTGATTCCCTTTGGGCATTTTTCCCTGTCTTACTTCTATCCTCCCTACACCAACAATGGAGCTCCCACCAGTTGTTTTTTGGGGAAAACCCCACATTTCTAGTGGAGTCCTCTTTTTTGCATTTCCTGCGGAATTTCTAGTTTGCAAATTGGTTTTTATCTTTTCTTTTACTACACTTTTTCCCACTATGGCTCCTGCCCCATGAGGTCATTTATAGATTCCCTTCCCGCGAATAATTCCCCACTACCTGGGCAAAACTCCAGCTTCACCCTTCCCGTCTCCCAGGACAGCATCTCCAGCTTCCCCCATTACTGTTTCCCCGGACAGCATCCCACTTCACCTTACTGTCTCCCAGGACCGCACCTCCAGCTTTACCATTACTGTCTCCCAGAAGCACCTCCAGCTTCCCCATTACTGTCTCCCAGGGCGCACTATCAGCCCCCCCATTTACGATACCAGGATACATCTCCGCCTTTCGTTTCTGACTACGGCCATATCAGGCAGTACCATTCAGCCCCCGGGCTTTTTTTTTCCCATCTGTTGAGAAAGCTTCCGGTTTTCTATGAAAACAGCTTTGGGGTGTTTACCCTTTTAATACCCTTTTTGATTTTTAGTCCACAGATTAATCTCATTTTGGGGATCCCAAAAACACTTCCCCCGTTTTTAATACTGCTTGTGCATTCTTGGGTATCTGCACAAGGGGCGTGAAAACCAAATTTTTACAAAATGAAATTTTAGCAGTGGAACCCGTTTGTTTGACTGACCACAGACACACCAGCTTCATAAAGATTTTAATGGTTGATTTCTGCAATTCACTAGCAACCCTT